TTGCGGCTGTGGGGGGAAGGGCGCTGCTGGCCAGTGCCGCGGGGCTGGCACTGCGGGAGCCGGGCACGTGGAGCATGATGGCAGCTATAAGGGACGCCGCGCACCCCTTACCGCTGCCATCAGGCACCCCTCATCAGTTGGCGCCCTGGGCAGCTGCCCGGCTCGCCCATACCTCCGTCCGGCCCTGCTCCCGGCTCCCATCCCCTGCACTAGGCCTGGGGCTGCCACTGGTACCCAGCCCCACTGTGAGACAGGGGTTGGGTTGGGGCTGGGGCTGGCTGCTGGTTCTCAGCCCCAGCTGCCAGCAATACCACGTAGGGTTGGTTGCTGGGGCTGGAGCAGCTTTCTGCCCTAGCAGGCTGCAGGCAGGGGACTGCTCCTGGGGAACCAGTTAACCGGTTACCCATTCACATCCCTAGATAGGGTGTATCACTCCGATACCTTGCGCATCGAACTGGTTCATTGTGAGCGTGCCCATGCCTCAGGCAGGGACTTCATCTCTTTATGGTTTCTGTAAAGCACCGGAAACATCAGTGACACTTCGTACAAGTGTTTTATCAAATAGCGACAATAATAATAGTGAGAGGCTTGTGTGACTCAGGCTTCGGAAAAACCTGAGCCACTGAACATATCCTCCCCCCTTCAGTCCATGGACACATGGGTACTTCTGAGATACCTGACTGCTCCTGAAGTGGTTTAATCCATCTGTTTAATGCCATGCTAGCTAGTAAATTGTTTCCTTGTGTTTGCTCTTAAATGAGGAATTATTGCCTAGGAGATTATCCTGTGTTTATCTCTCTTTTTTTCCCAGTGACCCTTATTATTTCCTTTTCCTGTGTTTGACACAGGAAGGAATGTCCCAGGGGTTTGTGTTCTAGAATCTCTGGGCCAAATCCTCACCACCTTACTGAGTTTTTTTACCTAAGCAATCTCTCTCTGGGTATGTCTACACTACAATGTTACTTCGAACTAACGGACGTTAGTTCGAACTAACTTTAATAGCCGCTACACTAGTGCTCCGCTAGTTCGAATTTGAATCGAACTAGCAGAGCGCTTAGTTCGAACTAGGAAAACCTCATTTTACGAGGCTTAAGCCTAGTTCGAACTTACTAGTTCGAATTAAGGGCTGTGTAGCCCCTTAATTCGAACGAGTGGGAGGCTAGCCCTCCCCAAGTTTCCCTGGTGGCCACTCTGGCCAACACCAGGGAAACTCTATGCCCCCCTCCCGGCCCCGGACCCCTTAAAGGGGCACGGGCTGGCTACGGTGCCCGTGCCAGGTGCAAGCCTGACAGCACCCAGCCAGCAGACCCTGCACCTGGCACGGCACAGAGCC